TCAACTGGAGAGGGTTTGACAGAACTTATTCTGACACATTTGAAAAATTAGGTTTCGAGTTAAAATGGCTTAGAGGACAAGGCTATGACAACGGAGCTAATATGAAAGGAGTAAGAAAGGTTGTACAAAATAGAATACTTGAAAAATATCCAAGGGCGTTTTATGTGCCCTGCGCGTATCATTCTTTAAACCTAGTTGTGAATGATGCAGCATCTTTTTCTACAGAAACAACAACTTTTTTTCTATTGTACAAGAACTTTACACTTTTTTTTCTGGTTCTACAAAGCGTTGTGAAGTGCTAAAAAAATATGTCTCACAATTAACTCTAAAACCATTGAGCGCTTCTAGGTGGTCGAGCAGAATAGATGCGTTAAAATCTTTACAATTTCAACTTTGCGAAATCTATGATGTATTATTCCAAATAATAGAAGACGTCAACAGAGATGCGGAACCTAAAGTTAAAACAAGAGGGTTAGCAAAAAATATTAAAAATTACAAGTTTATATGCGGTGTAATTCTTTGGCATGATATTTTATTTGAAATAAATTCTCTCTCGAAACTATTGCAATCTGTAACTATAAATTTGTCAGATTGTGTAAGGATGCTATCAGAAACCATACAAGTGATCATATGAAAATGCTGCTAATGAGATTGCAGAAAATATTGAATGCAGTAAAGAATTTCCTGCCGGAACTGAAGTTAGAGCCAGAAGGAAAAAGCATCAATTTTACTACGAAGAAGCTGTCGACGAACCCTTAACAGAAGACAGTAAATTTAAAATAAACTTTTTCAATTATATTCTGGATATTACCTTTAATTCTCTGAATGAACGATTCACGCTTCTGGAAACCCATGACAAAAATTTTCAGTTTTTATATGACATTTTAAAACTCAAGGATTTAGATGACAAAACGCTAGAAAATCATTGTACCAGTCTCTAGTCAATACTTTCGGTGGAAAATAAATCAGATATAAATGCAAATGATCTTCAAGAAGAATTACGTGATATATGCTACCATATTCTATGAAACCTTTGGATGTTTTAAATAATTTATGCCAAAATAACTTAATTACTTTGTATCCGAATACTGTTGTAGCACTGAGAATTTTATTAACACTCCTTGTCTCTGTAGCTAGTGGGGAAAGAAGTTTTTCCGAACTAAGATTAATAAAACGCTACTTAAGAAGTTCAATAAGCCAAACAAAAGTTAGAAATCTATCATTAAACCTTAGCCGAGTGGACTCCGTCTCCGCTTGCTAGTGGTGACCAGACCCTAAACACCGGAGTTCGATCGGGGGGAGTTCGCGCCTCACTCGGACGAGCTGGCAGCGGGAGTTTTTTCCGGGTTTTCCTCCTTGCCAATGACGCCTGAATAGGGGCCAGCTTTCCCTCCAAGTCCTCCCGGAAGGCATTCTGTCTCCCTTTCTCGCGGGGGTCGTCTCATATAAGACCAGCTTTGGTTACTTAGTGACCTCTCTCCTGTCTTCCTCGGATTGGTCGTCTTCTATAAGACCGACTCTTCCTCACTGTTTCTTCCGGAGTGAAAAGCGCATAGCAATAACACTCCTCTATATGGAATGGAATGGAATTAAACCTTAACGTCCAGTTCCGAGTTAACTCGGGCGCGTTACAAAAAATGCGGTCCTTTCGGCCCCCGAAAATTTTTTGATTTTTGTAATGTGTTTTGTCTCCATATTTTTTCAAAAATTTTTACCCACGCAAAAAAAATTTATCGCGATTTTAATCAACCTTTAATGATGCGCGATTAACGCGTAATTGTTTTTTAATGCGATTTTTTTTAATCAAAATTAATTAATCGTTCTAAAGTTGTAGTGCACGGATTTGACTTCGGTAAAGTTATTTAAAGGTACTTTCTGATGTCAAAAACGACCTCCAATAGTTTTTTTAATTTTTTAATTAATAGATTTTATTATATATAAGTTTAATTAAGTCGGAGGGTCGGAAATAGCAATAAAAATTTTAATTTTTTAAAAATATTTAAAACTATAGGTCTAGCTAGTATTCACCCTACTTTAAACTCTTCTCCTCCCGAGACGTCTATGAGAATGTCCCCGGAAATACGACACCAGCTGTGTAAACAATGACTCATCGGTGTCAAATTTCGCAGAAAGGCGAGACAATGGAAAATAAAGTTTGAAGCTTTTTCTTCAAAATTAACGCATTTCTTTCGTTTTTTTCAGTTTTAAGTATTTTTTTTATGTTTAATTAAAAATTCCTTTTAAAACATTCGTGTGGCAAGTGGTTAATTTCTATTGAATCTACATTAGCTGCCACTCTAGATTACGATTCCCTAATTAACGAATTTGCTAAAGTTAAAGTTAGAAGGGTAAAACTGTAGTAGATTCTTGTAGTTGATACTTGATATCATTATTTTAACGAACTTTTTATTTTCAAAATAAAAATAGTATTCGTACAATTTGTGCAGGTTTTTAAATCACAACCAAAGGTATTTTAGAGAAAAACATTTAAGGGGCGGCATTTCGAAGACTTGCATCACACTGAGAAAATCTACGGCACGACCCTGACCAAATAATTCTATGTATTTTGGAAATCTCTATCCAATATGTGTCTGTTAAAACAAACATTAAGAAGAAAATCCGTAATGGTAAGAAAGTATAGTTTACCGCCGCCACCCAGCGGATTTTGAGAAATTGGGCCAAACTTAAATGTTAGACACACGAAAAAGCCTAACCAGACTGTCCACATTGTGGCGCTCAGGAGACATCCGGCCATTTTTGGCTGATGTGCCCACAGTATAAGGAAGCCCGCCAAGACCTCGGTCGTACTCTGATGATAGACTTTGCAATCGTCCAAAATTTAACACCCATATATTGGGCAAGAACAGACCTCCCGCCTAGACAGCACGTGAAGGCCCTCGAACGCTTCGTATATCGCACACACCGCTTCGCCTAACTGCGAAACGGAGCGCATCGGAGGAAAGGCGATACGGCCAGAATCTCCATATTAGAGAAGGGGGGAGACCCGGAAAACTCCAAGTGGTTAGCCCAACTGGTCGGGCTCGAATCCGCGACGTTCGGGGTTTTATCCACTCGGCCACCGGTGGACAAGATGGGAAAAATATCACACAAGGAAAGAAGAATGATCATCCGCTCTATAATAATTTAGAATTTTAAGCAAAAGGATAAACGAGAATTTTTTTTTTTAAAAGAAAATTGCAGAAATATGGAAACTTTCTTAAACGAGTCTTCGAATTAGTCCTTATACTTGTATTGGCAACGTTATACTAATTGTCAATACATAAACGCCATCTATTTACAGACACCAATGTATTTAAATTGCTTCTTATTACGTGTTAATTTGTCACTTTTTAAAATTATTGTCTTTATTTTGACTGGCTAACGAAAATAACAACTAAATTAAAAAAAAAATTAATAAATTCTTAAAATAAGTTGATTTAGAAAGTGAAAGTAATGTTACTCCCGTTATCACGCTTTTCTATTCGTATGAACTTGTAAGTTCTCGATACTTTTTTCCACTTTTAACTAAATTTTTTAAAAATATCATTGAATATAAAGATTAATTTTAAATTTTCCTATTTGTATCGGCGCACTGCATGTGAAAATACAATATATTTGTTCATTTCATTTTAAATCATTTCAAGTTCAGGAAACTGCAGCACTGGATTATTCTTTGAAATTTTTCACAGGATTATCAACTTCTACATAGTGATTAGGCTATTTTTAAAATATTTTGAACGTAAAGGAATAAGTTATACCCATTAGTTAGCTTATGGATAGAATTTTGATTGAATTAAGGCTATATTAAATTGTTAAGAATAAATTGCACAATCATCAGGTAAAAATTAAGTGTATATATATATATATATATATATTGTAACTACCAAAAGTAAAGAACCAAATTAATATTGCACAAAATGATATTTAATTACAACAAAACTTAATCCTCAGGAATACTATTTGTTATAATTAAATACAATAAAGTTGCCTTTAAAAAAAATTATTGTTGCTTAAAATTGATGTTAAATTTGTTTTTGGATAAAGTTAAATAAACAGTGTTAGAAACATTAAATTGATCTATCAGATGAAACAAGTAAACAGTAAAATTCTGTAAAGGAACGTTTCTATGTACTATATAAAACTACACGCATCTTTAAACTTTTAATCTTTTATGTACTGTATAAACTTTATGAGCTGAAATAGGACTATAGTGGGGAGAGCTCCATAGTGGTTGCTGTCCCTATAAATTAATGTTATTTCTTCCAACAAAAAATAAAATCTTTAAGACTGCACATAATCAACACAAAACTGTATATTTAATGAACAAGGTGAACTAAATCAATGCCAGCACAGAAATTATGAGAGAGAACATTTTTGACGGTGTTAAATGGGCCTCTTTGGACTAAGTTAGCCTGACGATATCCTCTTTGCATGGTATATATTTAATTCTCCTTGTTCTTTAAGATTGCTTTTTATTAATAAAGAAATGTTCTACATTTCATTTATTCAAAAATATGACAAAAGAAGCTTGAAGAAACTATCCCTGGACCCCAAGCGAGCTCTCAACAGCCTTGGCTGAAAATGTTTATTTTTTCCCTCATTGGTTTGTTTTTACGTCAATTATTTCAGATAGGTTATACTTTAAATTATTCTCTTGACTTGTATTTGGTTTCATTGATTATTACTTGCTTCAAACTACTGTACATCTTCACAAAAAATTTCAATTCAAGAATAAAACATTTTTGCTGTCAAAGAAAATGTTATACCATATTCTTTACAACTGCATACATATATTTTTATTAATTATGAAGAAATTTAGGAAATTATATATGTTAATTTCAGTACTTAAATATTTTCTGTTTTTATAGAGGATAGACTACATTATGAAAGGAAAATTAATTTTTGTGTATAAATAATGCTTAAATATTGAAACTAATTATTTATTTATCTGTATTTAAAATATGAAATCAATTCTTGGATATGATGCATTTTAGATGGTTTATATCAATACCAAAATTTTTTGTTACCCAAATGTAATTTTAGAGAAATATTAAAAACTAGCAGGCAAGCCCAGCATTTCCCAGGCAAGAAATAAGAACAAATATAAGATTAGCTAATTTTGTACTTCTTACCCTTCTATATTATATTATACTAGCTGCAAGGACCTGCTTCGCTGGGTTTTTATTTATTCATACATTTGTATGTAATATAGTTTTTTTTTTATATATAAAAGACTGTTTTTCTAAGTAATCTAGAATCTAGCTGCAAGGACCCGCTTCGCTGGGTTTTTAAAAAGTAACGATAGTGAAGATTAAGATAATTACATTATAGCCAATCTTACCCGTTTTCACAGAATGCAAGAATTAGGTCCCCCGTTTCCAGACTAATTAGAGAATTTTTACGTTTAGTCAAACGAACTATTTTCAACGTTTCTGGAACGTTTACAATCGTTCTATAATCGAACCAATATTAGAATTTTATGTTCGAATTTAATTCAAACAAATTCGAGCAAAACATTCGAAATAGAAAGCCATTTTAAACCACTTTCAGCCTCATATCTCCCGCACCCTTATAGTTATCGAGACGCAACCACCCCTATGCACGAATGGAGACTTGGGGCTGCCACCACATACAAACACCATTCATGTGCGATGTGTAGTTTTGGCAGAAAAGTGAAATATAGGGACACACATGTCCATTTTTATATATACAGTAGAACCCCTCTAATCTGTCACTTTTGGGACTGGGAGTATGGTCGGAATGCAAAAAGAGGTCGGATTATCAGAAAAAACTAAAATAAACAATCTTCCCCTTTGTCCAGTCTTTGTAGCACTGCTAATTATTCATTTAATGAAAGAGTAACGTGTTTACGTTTCACTCCTGACATGTTGAAAACACACACAAAACTGTACATATACACACAATGTAAAACATATACTGTAACGAACACAAAAACGCCACGGACGGTGAGTCAACGACGAGTCGGGACAAGTTTCTCGACTCCGACCATGGTCGGATTAACCGGAGTGACGGACTAGCCGAGGGCGGACTGGAGGGGTTCTACTGTATATATAGATATAGATTATAGAATTTGGTTTATATAACTACAAAGGTTATCTTATATGGCCGATCTTATTCGTTTTCACCAGGTGCAAGAATTAGATTTCTCCTCTTCCGAGGCTAATTAGAGAATTTTTAGATGGGTCTAAAAATATGTCCGATTTCCCGCAAAAACACAGCATATAAAATAGTACAGTAGAAGTCAAGTTCTTTGTGATAATTCTTAATAACTCCTGTGCTTTTTGTCAAAAATTTCTGAAATTTTGCAGCAAGGTTTGTTTGTTTGCGGATTGATGTTATTAAATTTTGGTAATTAACGGTTGAGGGGGTGGGGAGATAAAGGGAGTCATGTGTATCTCCAGTAGGGTCAAACTTAGTGATGATTTCACTCATATTAGCATTTACAATTTTTTATAATACCCACCCCTACTCTCAAAATTAAGCTTTTTGCTATGTTATATTTTATTAAAAAAACTATTTTTTATATTTTTAACTATTATAACAGATGGTGCCCCCACACAATTTTAAATGTTTCTGGAAAAGTTTTAACCAACTTGTTGCTAGATATTTTATGCAACTATAATCTTACAATAATATAATCGAGATGGGTTGATGATGATAAGTGTAGAGCCCAAATGGTTAGGAGTTGAAATTTGGTACACTGGGTACGTCTTGAGAATGCACATTAAGAAGGGATTTTTCAAAATTCCCCCCACAGTGGGAGAGGGTTATGCTTCAAACAGGGTGAATAAAATTGTTCCCCCCACACAAACATCCATACATACAGAAAAAATCCCCAAATGTTTTTTGCATTTCTTGATGTTTCAAGGTGTCCTGAGTCCAAATTATGACGAGTACCGTATTTTGACGAGTATAAGTCGCACTTTTTTTACTACTTTTTGGGGCTCAAAATCATGGTGCGTCTTATACTCGACAGGTAACCATTTTTACAGTGAAATTATTTACAGTATTGGTCCACTCTAGGGACCAACCTGTGCTGTGATCCGTTAAGCACATGGTCCCTCAACCGAATGGCTAGAGTACCTAGATTATCAGAATAGCGACACACGAGTCATCGCCGCCATGTTCTGTCGACTGTCATTGCGTGACCTCTGAGTTTACATTAAGAAATTACGATTATTTCAGTTTAATAAAGGTGTCGATTCACCCATCCGTCATATTCTTGAATAAAAAACGAATAAAATGCATCTTTTTAATAAAAAAAATGAATAAAATGCATCCGTCACATTCTTGAATAAAAAAACGAATAAAACGCAATCTCCCATTAAAAAAGTTTTTTTCTAAATTTTCTGTCTCAAAATAGGGGTGCGTCTTATACTTGACAGCGACTTATACTCGTCAAAATACGGTATGTAAAAATCTTTGGGGGGTCATTTTTTGACCAGATCATCATGCATATAACAGCCAGGAAAGTAAAATCTAGACAAGATCTTATTTACCTTGTTTAATTAACTGGGATATTGACAATAAAATTTACAAATATAATAATTACTTTTAATATATTCACTATCAAAAATTTTTACTTGTCACTGATTTTGTATGTAAGTGTGTGTCTGTATCATGACCATTTTATGAGTTTTCTGTGATAATCATTATGAAATATATAAATTTTTATATTGTTAAAATTGATCTGATTTCAGTTTTCAGTTGATTAAAATTGGTAGCAAATATAATGGAGAAATGTTTCCGTCGGCAAGGGTACGATTATGAATTTGTCCCCATTCTAGATCTGAAATTTGAATGTCCTATTTGTTATATGTGCCTAAGAGATGCTGTCCAAACTTCCTGTGGTCACTTATTCTGCCAGGATTGCATCCTACACTGGATAAGGTATGCAAGAATGTACAGGTTTTGAAATGTAAATTTGAAAAAATTTAACTTTTACTTTCATTTTTTTTGAAAATGCAGTAAAGAAGAAAGGTGTTGTCCATTAGATAAACAAATGTTAACGGAAGAGGAGATTTTTCCCGATAATCATGCACGTCGAGAAATACAAGCTCTAAAGGTTCAATGTCCTCAAATTAAGAATGGATGCAATGTCATAACTGAATTAAAAACTATTGAGGTATTTATAAATGAAAAATGTGGTGTAAGAAGTAAAAGTTTAAGCATTTAACTATTTGAAATCTGACACAGCTCCACAAGTCAACGTGTGGTTACGTAATGAATTTTTGCTCACTTGGCTGCGGAGAAAAATTGTGCCGCAAAGACATGGATCATCATAGAGAAACGTGTACTCACTCTCCTAGTCAATGTGCATATTGCCAAGAGGAATTTCCTAGAGTAAAAAAATCGGTAAAGCAATGAATGTAATTAATTAGCCATGTTGCTTAATTTTATTCATAATATCAATTTGACTTTTCAACAGGAACACTACAAAGTGTGCACTGCATTTCCCATTTCCTGTAAATACTGTAATATTCTTGTAAGCCGAGGTGATGTGAGTATTGTTACTAGATACTTAAATATATATTTAAAATTAGAACTGAACATTTTCAAACTATTTGTATTATATTCAAGATTCCTGTATATGATTTTTTTTCATTGATAAAAATGCGGTATGAAAGTTAAATAGGACTGTATAGAGTACTATTCTCAGAGAGCTGAAAAGAAAAATCATAAATCTCTTATTCATTGTAAAAATCTAACTTTTCTACTTAATATGATACAATGCACAAAACATTAAAACTGTAACTTAAACAGAATAAAAATTAATTAAATATTGTTACAGCAATGTTTTGCCAGTTTTGATTTCAGTGTATAAAATTTTTTGTTTGTTTGCTAAAAACATGTGAAAACCCAAATTTGGCACATAAAATGCAATTCAGGACTGCTTCTACCATTCTTTTTGACAGTTTTACCATAGAAAATAATTTTTTCATGAACATAGGATTAACAATTTAAGTTATTTACACAAGGTATGCAAATTCTTAGAGATTTACATTATCTAAGTCTTATTTTGTATTTTTCAATTATTCAGGAATATAAAAATTAAAATAGTATAAAATTTATAAGTTTACATAAAATATTTAATTGACTAATATCATGTTCCTGTTTTTAAACAAATGTTGTTAATGAATAACTAAAGAAATTTAAGGAATCCACAGACATTTGCTTAAAAAAAATAATCGAAACTAACTGCAATATCAAATCAGACTATTTTCTAGCCATTATAATTTTAATTAATTATCAATTTGTCCTAGATGGAAGCATTAGGCTCCATCTCATATTAAATTTAATAATTATAATTTAATTAAATAATTTTAGAATATTCTGGAAGAAAAGAATTGGCCCGGAGTGGGACTCGAACCTGCAACTCCTGTTTGCTGTGCAGATGTGTTGCTAATTACGTTACCCAGTTCTCCGATCTGATTGCTTCCAGTATATTTAACTTTGATATAACCATCATTGGTTACTTACAGTGCCAACTGAGGACACATCAAGTCCTTGTGCTCTAAACTCCCACACAAGACACTCAGCTGGCCATTGCATACCCTGACATGGTATGCAATGGTCAACCGAGCAAACAACTTCTACATAGGATAGTGTGTTTCTCAAAGTTAAATATGTAAAAAATTATCCTTTAAATTAAACTTTGATAAACACACTAGCCTATGTAGAAGCTGTTTGTTAAATTTTAGCAAACTACTTTAGAAAATCACTATTAACAAAATTATATTAATATCTATTAAAGTAATTAGATATACAAAATTATATATTTTTACCAGATGGATTGTCACATACAGAAAGACTGTCCAAGAGTTATTGTGTCCTGTCAATTTGAAGATATAGGATGCCCTTTCTCTTTGGTAAAGTAAATTATTTTAATCAAATATAAATTTTTTTTAATTGTACAAATATTGATATAATAACTTTTTCAGGTGGAACGACAATATTTACGTGATCATAATTTAAAAAGTCTTGACATTCACATTAGTTTATTACACAGATCTTTAAATAGAACTATTCAAGAAAACAGAGAATTAAAGAAACATGTTAAAAGTGTTAATGAAAGTAAACCAAGAATGGAAAATTTTGCTGCCTGTAGTTTGCAGTTAAATCAAGAATTAATGATACAAAAGATAAAAGATACTTTTGAAAGAAGGCTAGATTCCTTAGAAAAACAATTAGTTTCTATAGAAGAAAAATTAACCCAAGGAATTTTTCACTGGAAAGTAAATAACTTTTCTGTTCATGAACAGAAAGCATTAAATGGTACAACTGTACAATTAAAAAGCAATCCTTTCTATTCTAATCTGTATAGTTATCGTTTGTTTTTAACAATGACACTCAAAAAAACTGAAAGTAATCACTTAATGTTATCTTTGTTTGTGCATTTGATGAAGGGAGAGAATGATGATTTCTTACCTTGGCCATTTTCTGGAAAAGTTGATCTAAGTATACTCAATCAGCAGTCAAATGCCAATGGTGAATTCCACATATTGAAAAGTGTGTGTTCTGATCCAATGCTCAATGCATCTCAAAGACCCATCACAGAATTTAATTCCAAAGGTTTTGGATGTAAAGAATTTATCGAAGTGTCAATTCTCCACACACAATCTTATTTAAAAAATGATGCTTTAATAATCAGAGCAAAAATCAGACCAAATGTAACTTTATAAACATATATTGCAATTATTTTTTAAAGAAATTTTTGATATACTGTATTTTGTAACATTGACAAAATAAAATAAAACAAAACATCCAGGAACTTCAATTTTGTAAGTTTTATCGTAAAAAAATTATTTGTATGTTCAGTTCTTAACTTTTCAATCAGTATCAATATGTAAATTAATTTGTTGTTTGTTCTTTTAAAACTTATTTCAAGAAGATTTTATAATTATACCTTATTTTGTGCAATATAAATAATACCAAAAGAAACATTCAAAGAAAATGTATACAACTTTTTAGCACCACAGGCTAAAAAGAGCTTCTGATCATATATTTTCTTCTTTAAATTTTCACAATGAAGCAATTGCTCTTCTGAAATTAGATGTTGTCATGCATCGTATTGAGTTACAGCACTAACCTTTATAGAGATGTAATAAAATATGGTCTTACACATTATAATTTCTAAACAGTTGTATACATACATATATATATTATATATATATATATGATTGGCTATTAGATGGCAATAAGAAATTTTAAATTCTATGCTTGGAAGCAATTTTGACTGGCGTGCGGGCAGGCACTCATTTGCAGACTTTGATATCCACATTTCATCTAGGTTGTCAGAGTGTACTTCTTTAAGTTTCAATATTATGCCCACTATATACAGTACTTAGTCTTATTTTAAATAAATACATAAATTTTACATATGACGATTGCACCATCGGTCCCAAGCGTGCAACACAAATTACGACACTTTCCTTAAAATTAACTATATTATGCAATAAGTCGTTCGTGCATTTCTAAAAAATCACAGTTCATTCACAATATATCCCGAGGTGCCTCGAATGTCTTAGTTATCACATTATAAACGGCTCTCAGTGTAATCCTATGGCCGACATCAGTAAACTACATTCTGTCATCTCTTGCAGCTAAACTGTCAAATTTAATTTCCTGCTTCGATCTAATTTGTTTACTTTCATAAATTAAAAATTACAATTAAGCATATTTTCTTACTGTGACGCAATAAGATACAATTTATGGAAAAGACACTTCTACTTATCAATTTTTAAGAGCAATTCTGATCCAACAAGAAGCCAATTAATTGACTATAGAAACTAAAAGCAGACATTATTCTGATAATGGATATCAGATGAAAGAATCAAAGAAAATCGTTACTGCTAGAATTTCATTGATGAGAGCTGCAAGTTGCAAAGGTAGCTTCAGAATCCATTGCACACACGTTGGAATGTTCCCTAGAATTTATTTTAGAATCTAAGGCCGCAGAACATGACGTAGGTGATGGAGATCTGGCATCTGCAGACGTGCAATCTGTTTTTTCTGCACCATTTACACAGATTTCATTATCTCCACAGCTTGAAACCATCTGGACATCTTCAGTCCTATTATCTTCTGCATTACTTGCTTTCTCTTCTTCATTCTGATTATTTAATAATTTTAGTACCACTGCTAAATCTTGTAAAATTTCTGTTTCTTTCTCTTCAACCATTTTGAAATGATCATTGAAAAGCCAAAAATGACAAAATATGCTATTTAGGTGAGTGTGGAGATTCAATAAGACTATTTCTCGAAAGTGTGCTTGATAAATATGAGCTAAGACGTGGAAGAGCAATCGTTGTATTTTTTTTACAATAGATTCAAAGGAACTTGGAAATTCTTTATCTGCAAAGAAACAAAAATACAAAATATTTTGATATATTTGAAATAATAATAATTGTTGTAAATATATTTTTATTAATAAATATAGGATAGTCCTAAAATCCATGAGTAGTTCTATACTTCAATAATCAAAGATGTTAAAACTATACCATAAATAATTATCACAAAAAACAATGAAAAAAATTGTAAGAAATCAGAAAAATACTTAATACTTTTTGGCTAGATTCACCCCATCTTCAAATTACTACAAAAATCAACATTAAGCATTTAACATATAAAAATAGAATTAACAGCATGACTTAAACAGGTTAAAATCAGCAAATCACAGTAACATCTAATTAAGGCCCTAGGTCAGAAATCTCTTTTTTTGATATTTAACAAAGTATCTTTTGATATTATAATTACTAATCCTTCTACTATATGCACTGGAAGAAGTAACCTAGAATCAAGTAAGATGATCATTACCTCCTATTGACTGTTGACTTTATTCATTGCTTCTCATGCCAGCATGGATCATCTCTACAATTCATAATATCATTCAAGTGTTCCTTCAGTTATGTATCAAGTGAATGAAAAGTTTTTACATAGGCATGATATATGCTACCTGTCTTTAAATCACTCAATGGAATATTGTATACACCCACCTCATTCATTGGTGATTTATATCTCCTCATTTCTAATAAGATCATAATAACAATGAAACAATCTTCAGTTTTGTGTGTTTATTTCAACTAGTTGTAATGTCTTATCTATTTTTATCAAGAGCCCAGATAGTTTCCTAATAGTGCATTACATAAACCAGGGTTTGGTTAGTGCCAGGCATGGGAAAATATATACAGTAGAACCTCGATTATCCGGATTGTTCAAAATAAACAAAAATTTTACGAATTTGCTGATTTGCACTTGGCAAATTACGATACTATTTATGTACGTGATGGAATGCATAATTTTTTTTATTTCAACGTCTCACCCGGCACAGAGGCCGTAAACTCTTAAATATATTTTGCATCGTAATAAAAATATAACTTGACATATGTATTTATAAATAATTTATATTCAAATTACATCATTTCTATGACCAAGGGCGGTGTAAGGCATGGGCAACGTGGGCCACCGCCTATGCCTCACAGTCCGAAGGGCCTCGCATTACTTAAAAGCCGCGAACGCGATGAAAAAATTTTTCTCATCATAAAACGATAAATAGTTTGTCAAATTTTTATTCATAAAAAGCAGTTTCAACTGCTTTTTATTTTATAAAATCCGTCTTCTTGAGCCACAGAGGGCCTTTTAAACAATAGGTAGTCTGTTAGCACTGGTCAGTAGTAGACGAAATTCAATACGAACGTTTGTTTCTTGAAAATTTGATCACAATGTAAATACAGTATTTATTTTTAATATTACCGATATGTCATCGAAAAGAAAACGTGTTGTATTATCATTAAAAGACAAATTAAAGTATTTGTTTCGATTATCCGGATTTTTCCTTATCTGGACTACCTTCATCCCCAATTAGTCTGGATAATCCAGGTTCTACTGTGTGTGTGTGTGTGTGTGTGTGTGAACTTTTTTTGACACTTGGGGACAAAACTTAAATTATAACTATCTTAGAATTATCTTCACAAAACCAACAAGTAAAAATATGAAACCGAAATCTTGAGGTGGGTGTTAGCCACTTATGTATGTAAAATAAGGTGGAGTGGGTGTAATCACGTAACATTATCATCTGCACTATGAGGAGGAGTGCACCTCCTCCTTATAATGCACATGGTAATGTTACATGATTACACCCACTCGACCCTATTTTACATACTTAAGTGGCTAACATTCATTTTAATTCTAGTAATCTTTCTTTAAGTTGGTATCATTCTTACATTTAATCTTTTATAATATTTCATTGTACCTTTTTGTGACAATTTGGGGGTAAGAGATACAGGGTAAACTTCCTGTGGAAGTCTACCCTGAGATGTCGTTTCTGGGTTTGATGATGTAATCGGTTGCTGAGAGCAGTCATCATAGTAAGATGAGTTTTAGTTTTAGAAATTTTTGCCCAGGTGAGGTGCAGTAGTTTATCCTTAATGAAATAAAATGCCATAAAAGAAATATAATAACAATCTAAAAATAATCCCAAACAAAATAATAGAGTTTGGAATTGACTCCTCACATAGTGGCACATCACTTAAGAAACTTACAGAACAATAATCCACTGACAGCAACCTTGAAGACTATCTCTATCTCAGCCTTGATGGCTATCTAGCTGTCATCCAGTATTCTGTTCTGTTGAGTTCAGTTCCTTATTACAATCTGCTATTCTGACTAACATCAGAGTATATTAGCACTAACTTGATCAATATATGAACTCTTGCCAATTTTTAATTAGTAATTTTTTTATCTGAAACTTCCTAATTAGAAGTTTCAGATAGAGGAAGCAATTTTTTTATCAAATCCCATCAAATCAGGATATGGAAAGCTGACATATTACACATGAAACATCAAGGATCAGTTTGTGTACTGTACAGTACATGTGCTTAGATCAAAATTGGTATTCCATATACAATTATAGGGTACCTTGGGTTATTCTGATATTGTCAATAACATATCAATATTGACCAGTAGACACTATCTTGTTCATACTGTTGGAATGTCAATAAATTCTAAACAAATGTCTGCAAATTCACCTACTTCAATAACTAAACATTATTTACTGCATGGTTTTAGCATTTGATGGCCTAACTTTTGAAATTTTTTTATATAACAAATTACTTTTATATTGATAAAATTATTTTTTCAGATTCCAAATGGTGACAACATGAATAGCAAATTAAAGTCAATAACTGCTGTTATTGATTAATTCTACAAATCAAAAGAAATGATGTGCTTTTTCTTTTGTTTGTTACCATTTGAGATCACTAATGGGATCTTTAAAAATCCAGCATGTGCACTTTAGGACCACTCTGTATATTTTTGAACTTTTGCTAAAAATATTACTTTATTTTTGAAGTTAATTATTATTGAGATAAAATTTCTCAGAATTCATATTAAATTTGTTGTAAGTAATTACATTAAAAAATGGAATATTTTAAAACTTTTGCTAATTTTTCTTTAATACAACTTTAGTATTAATAAAAGAATGAAGACATAGATAGCCACCAAACAATTACAGGCAATTTTTCTTTTGTATTAGCTTTTGAAATTATACAATAATTAGAATAGGAAAATATTTTTAACGACCACATGGCAATGTGTTTTAGAAGCTGTTGATTTTGAGAATTATATCTTGTACATGTTCATAATAGGCTATCCTTCACCGCTTGGTTTCTTAACTTGTCTGGCCAGATTGTCCATGAAAAATTTCTGAGGATTCTAATTCATGTTAGTGAGCAGTATCAAATGACTTTTCAGACAAGTGACAGAGGTATTAAACAAGTATTAAAAACACTAGTATTTACAATAGATACTAATTTGTTTGATACTTCAAAATTTAATTTCATTTTCAAGGAAATATTATATATTTATATAGTACTAGCAGACCCTGCCACGCATTGTTGTGGCTCAAAATGTATCTATTATAAATTTATAACACTTCCCCCATGGGGGGAATTTTTCAAAAAATTTCTTAATGTACATTCTCTTGACGTATCCTATTAAAACGCAATCAAAAACGCAAAAACCTGCATCTAAAATAGTATAAATAGAAGCAGAGTTCTTTACCGTAAGCCTTAATCCTAACCATCTCCCTTCAGTGGGGTTGAATTTTGACATGTATATTATATAAAAACAAGTGCGTATTCGAATGCAGCGTCGTGTCAAAATTTCAAAGGAATCGGTAGGAACAAACGAAAATTACATTTTATTTATATAAATAGAAGATGATCTGCTTTAGTTCATTTTCATAGAAAAGCGTAATGCCTCACAGAAAAGCAAACTTAGGGCGTCGTACTCGCGGAGTTAGCACCATCTGTTGGACATAAAAGCCTTAACCTAGATTATATCTTTTAATTTATATGAATGTTTAACAAAATAATATACACCCTATGTCCACCCTGAAGTTCCATTCTAAATATTGGTGAAAGAATTTTTGAAATTGAACGAGTAGTTTCAGAGATTACCTGCTGCATACAAACTTACTTACTTACAAACATTACCTCTTTATAATATTAGTATAGATAAAGATTGATAAAATGAAACCCCATTTGTGCCATGTCATGTGGTCTGGTGCAAGGAGAGGGGAATGATGTAACATTTGGCATGATAAGCATATACCGATGAATAAGCAGGAAAAAGTTCAGTCATATTGCACATTTTGTTTTTGTCATAGAGTAGTGAAAACATGACCTGAGTTATTCAGAATCCGTCCAAAGTCGAAATGTGGTTCCATCACTTTGAGCCAATGAGTTGAGGAACAAGCATGCAATGGAAACACCCTGGCTCAACAATACACAAAAAATTCAAGACACGACCTTGCAGGCAAAGGCCTATGATGACTGCATTTTTTGGCATTGTGGGGCCTTTGCTAGTGAACTTTAAAGACCTTCACAAGAGCATCAATGTCATCCACTACAATGAAACACTGAACAAGCTGCATAAAGCCATAAAGACTAAGTGACATGTTGCAAACACTGTGCAGAATGCTTTAGAACAAAAAGGAGGGAGGTTCACCACACTCTATAGTCCTGATCTGTCATCACATAACTTTCATTTGTTTGGACCTTTCAAAAAAGCTCTTAAGGGATAACACTTTAACTCTGATGTGGAAGTCAAAGAAGCAGTCCCCCAATGATTCAAGGACCAATCAATATTGTTCTTTGTCGATGATAGCCATCATCTCCCTAAGCAATGGGATGCATGTCTGAATGCCTACAGTGACTTTTTTTAATGAATGTTTTTTCCTCATATATTACTTTGTTTAATTATGCCAAACTGACAGATATATTGCTTTGTTTGTCTTAATAAATTTACTTGAATGGGTTTCATTTGATCAATGCTTGGAATTTAGTATATTTCCTTGATTCTATGATGTACTTTTTTACTTCTCTGAACTAGAGTTGCATCTTAGAGTTGATTGTACAGTACCTTATGTTTACATATAAAATAATGATCAGAAGCATTATTGGTGCTTAATGCACTAGAATAGATATATTGTTGAAATAGAGCTTTTTGAGTAAGAATAAACATCATTCTCAGATCAAACACTGGAAAACACACCTTTGAGCCAATTCTGGTCTCCTTCGTCTCCTTTGATAAGCCTATTTCTGGTCTGTCAAAAATTCTAAATGTTGATGTTCTATGTTGGACTATCTGCTTGTGTGATGTGATTTCTAAGATTTAAAAAATTTTTTTGAATGTTAAAAACAATGTAATGATATTTTCTGTGCTATGTATTTTTTAAGTTCTAGGTTATGTGATGTTTATGTTGTGATCTCATAATTTTACAAATATATCTTGTAGGTTCCTGTAGAGCAGTGTTTTTCAATCTTTTTTGTCTCATGGCACACTTGAACCTACAATTAAATTTATGTGGAAAAAATCATGATTTAAAGTTGTGTTTGTAAATATTCTATTGCCATATTACTTGCCACTCAATCTGATTATTTTTTGTCTATATTTTTTTGTGAATTAAATAAAACAGTATTGTTGTTCCTTAAAACAGCAGCATGTTACAATAATAGTTATTTGAATTAATAACTTTAATTTACATAAGACTTAATATTAATTGCTTTTCTTAATTTGTATTTAAAAGTGGCATAATAATTGCTATTAGAAGCCTGCCCAATGTCCAATTTCTAAGTTAAAATAATTTGAACTAAATATGGACAATTATAGATACATTTTTGATTTAAAAAAAAAAGCTCATTTTAAATGAAGGAACCTGGTGGTATGCATATATATTTTTTACTACTTTGTTATAATAAATAAATGTATACATAATTAAAAACTTGTATAATCAATTTAAAGAGGTTTTTATTTTGACATATACACTTATTGTTCTTTGGGCTTCTTTTGAAATTAATTTATTTAATAACTTTCAAAAATTTTTGCAGCACACTGGTTGAAAATCACTGCTGTAGAGTTCTTATTCAATTTCTCATAAAACATCTAGACAGCAGATAAGATTTTATATGCTTTTCAGTTTATGCAAACTCCTAAGGAAGCTTTATTCAGAAGCTTTTAAACTTCTTAGGTGTGGTTCATTAAGGAGTTTTTATCAATTTGGCATTGTTAAGATTTGCTACCATTAACTTTTTAATGTTTAAAATGCCTTCAAGATGATATTATGATGCAGCATTAAAGAAAAAACTAGATTTTTACAGAAAAACATAGAAATAGAGCTGCCATAAAATATTAATGCTGTAAATTAGATATTGTTTTTTTAACTTACTACATAATAAAAAATAACTAGAGGTCATCTAGAGATTTATAAATAAATTTATCAACCTTCCAAATATCAATAAATTTAATGACTCTTTGATGTTACTAGTAACAAATAGCTAGGGATGGCTCCTAGTGGCCATTTTTGGCATACAGTGACAGAAAGAAAGAAAGAATCAGGGTTTTCAGCTTTATATAGTTTTGCCAAGACAGTTTAAAAAATCAAGACATCAACTGGATGGGAATCAAGCAACAGCTAAAATCTCCCAAGTTGTAAAATCAACTTGTGAGATGTCAATTGCAGATAAAACTGAAATATTGTGTTGACAGTTGATAAGTGAATTAAATTTCTCCCTTACTTCTTAGACAAAACTCAAGCTAACATTAGTTGAAAATCTCTGAAGAGTTTCTGGCAAAGCAGAAATGAATACAATTTATAAAACATTATTATTATTATTATTATTATTATAAATGATGGAACTTTTATTTATAGCTATAGCATGAAAACAAAACATTACTCATTAGTGGAAGTTAACTGATTCTCAGAGACCAAACAACTAAACAGATAAAAATGGCTTACATCATGTTGAAATCAAAATTAAATACTCAATTAAATGTTTTCTTTGTTAAACATTTTTAGCTCTTCTGTTTATCTTCAGCTTATAAATACATTGAACAATATGGAACAAAAAATTTGGAATAAGAATAATAAGTACAAAACTGTTTATACTAGAACAAGTAGAATTACATAAGAATTTAAAACTTTAAGTGATATTATGAAAGCAAATCAGCAAACTGAAACTAATTTTTTCTCATGTGATGATCACTCTGGGATACAGCAGGATTGGTATTTTTTATGCTTTTTATTAACTTAGTCTGTTTCTATGTCTCTGCCCAGATAAAGTAAATTTTCACCCATTTCTGATCTAATTGAAACTTTATATACATACAAGTATGTATTCCCGATGACAATACATTTTTTAGGGTTTGAATAAACCTTTAGCAATTAACAAAAAGTTGGTGAAAAATTAAAATTTGTAAAAATCTGATTCATTGTTTAGAAATATTTTGCTATACTTTCTATCAATTTTTATGGGCTTCCCATGAATGATCCATGCAATACCAAGAATACCATAAAAGATGAAGAAAATTAGCTTTTACTTTTTAGTGCATTTATGTAAATAAAAAGCATTTCTTTAAATTTTTTTTTTATTTTGAACTATTTTCCAGAAAATTCTGTGCACTTCTGCCATTATTTCTGTCACTCCTTGAAGAAAATAGTCCAGAATTGCCCCTGATGCTTTGAGATGGGAAATGCGTCTTTTGTAACCTTCAGTATGAAAATATGAAAAAGTCACAGGGTGCCAAAATTGGATGGTCCAATAGATTAGAATGCAAAAATATTTATTTTGGCCAAAAACTCAATGACCATGTTAGCAACACATGAGCATGCATTGTCACAGTGCAGCTGCTAACAATTGGCATAGAGATTGGGCAGAACTGAAGGCAATACTGTTAAGTAACTGTTATATATGATGATACAACATTTTAGTACACTCTTAGCAATTGTAGATAACAACCAACAACTTCTATTTTCTCGTAGTTAGGCAGCAGAAAGCATTTGCTCTGTGTAATTTTTTGAACAGATGCATCAATACTTATATCAATACCTATTCTTTACTATGATATAGATCTTGAATTTTGCTAGTACTATTCTTTTGACAGGAATAAAAATCAGTTTGTTTTGTCATTGTATAAAAATAGAATTTGAATAATTAATAATAAATTGAAAATACAATCACATGAGTTGAATTAAAATACTATTACTGTAAGATTACAATAATTTTGAAATTAACTTGCAATAAAGAGAAGAGAAATATAAAGATCTCAAAACCCACTAAGCAGGAACTTGTCAAAATTGATGGTTTTATTCAATTAAAATACAACCAATGAGCTCATTTAAAATTTGTCGTTCTATATAAAAATCACCAGCATAGCAAATGTTTTCCTATAGTCTGTCTGTTTTCAGTGGCATGAGGCTTCTTTCAGAGTGGCAATTTAACATTCTTAAGATGAACCAACTTCAACTGGCAGGGATTTGGATTAATGGTGATGGTAGTGGTCTCATGCCAAGCACCTCATGAATAAAACTTTTAGATCTACCAACAGTTGGATGTTCATTTCAGAATTTTAAAAATATAGAAGAAAACCAAGTTGTCTTTAATTCTGTCATGTAGATCACCAGGAATAAAACAGTCTTCCTTCACAGAGATGACCTTTTATTAAAGGCTATACCTTTGCAAAATTATGTAAAACAGTTAACTGATAATGTCATCAATGAACATTTTAACATAATTCTACCCACTAATTCTTGTTTTCAAGAACCTCATGAGAATGGGCAGAATATAATTTTACTTTTTTGTTATGGCAAATTGAACTCCCTAATAATTGAAAGTGCATATATGATATTTATATGAAATCATTGAAATATTCATCTGTTTTTAATTGAAAATTTTACAAATAAACATATCTTTTTAATCCTACAAATTGACTTTAATTTACTAAATGAACATTTCTAAACATCATTTAATGAAAATGGCTTGAAGATGACCATCATCTTCTAGCCATTTTCAAGCTATCATCTTCAAGCTATTTTCCAAAATTACATCTTAGAACAAAATTCAAAAACATCAGAACTTTGTTTAGTGAATTGAAGTCAGTTTGCTGGATTAAAAAGGTATGTTTATCTGTAGAATTGCCAAGTTCCAGTTTGAGTGAGTAATGAAAACAGTTCTAATATTTCTACTACTATTTTTCTACACTTTATTTTCTATATTTCTACACTTGTATTTACCAACTCTCCACAAATAATATACTGATATACATTAATAATAAGTTAAAATCTTTTTTGATTAAACTTAATAAATAATATACTTACCAAATTTAGTTGGAAATATATTTTCATCATTTACAGTCTTTTGTGTAAAAGTCATAACACAATCTATGTACTGAGGAGCTGCCACCCTACATTTTTTACCTTTCTCATCAAACCATAAATATTGCCTAAAATTAATACATTTAAATTTTAATTGTGACTTTACAATGTATTAAAACTTAACACATTTTGTTAACATACCTTGATGAAGGCCCATTCATGTCAGGACAACCAGACATTGTACAAAATTCAGATATTGTACCATATATTAGATTAATATGGTCAAATAATGCTAAAGCTAAAACAAAAATAATTGTCATTATATTACATATCTAAAATGAAACTTTTGAAAATCATATATATTTACTATGTGATGCTATCCATTCATTATAATCCAATCCCATAGGCAGATCGATCACATCTCGAATCTTGTCTTCTGACAGGGTCATTTCCAAAACTGCAGGTTCAAGGTATAGTTTAGCTTCTTCTTGACTTGGTGTAGCAACATCTTTCTCCTTCCTTCTACCCTTCCTATTAAAATAAAATAGAAATATAGAATGACAAAATTTTTGTAGATGACAAAGATATTCCATCATGACAATTAAAAATTATCCCACCAAAACATACTCATCTTTGTCAGCCTTGCAATGTTTATTTTAATAAACACGTTAAAAAATTTTATCAAAAAATTACAAAATTGTAGTTATCTTCTTAAAACCAATAGCAAAAATGATATTAAAATAAATCTCTAATTCACAACCAGTTGAGTGCACCAGTTTTTTGTGACATGCATAGTTTGAGTCTGAAATAACACACAAAAGAAATATTTTCAAGAATGTTAATAAAGTTTATTTTTCATCCTGTTTTTAAAGCAAAATATGAAGACTGTGTGAATGAAGCAGCAATGATTGTATGTGCAGGATGCAATGAGCCATTATGTTTTAACTGTTTTCATGATAACTTTTATCCCAATTTTCTTGAGAATGCCTAAATAGTATTTACTTATATTTAAATTCTATCAATAGCCTATGGCTTTGATAGAGTTTAAGTATAAGTAAATCCTATACATCCGCAAAATTTCATCAAAATGATGATGACAAACTGCCAAGTTTCCCTTTTGTTATGAACTAGGGCAGTTAGAATAACATTTTGGTTTCATCATAAAGCAATGGTAAAATAAAAACAGAAATTGATACTAAATGTTGGTAGATGGTACTGTAGTCAATGTTGACAAAACTAATTTATTTAGAAAAACTTTTATTATATTATTTTAGTGTTGAAAAAAAGATGCATTTATTTCACTAATTCATACTTTCATATCACAGATTCTAAAAAATAAAAATGATTCTTAATTTTATTTTATTATTCATATAGATAGCAGTTCTGAACAAATCATCTGATATTTGGCCAAATATTTGAAAGTCAGAATAGCAAAAATATTCAGTATTAAGTATTCAGCAATAGTAACATCTGAATAATTATTTGGTATTTGGCCAAAAACCCCATTTGATTCAAAGCTAAATTATTTAAAAAGTTAATCTATGAACTTTTTAATCATTTGTTAAAATCAACTTATATGGAATGTTTAAGTTGAAACATACTTCTCACTGAAAAAGTAAATGGCCCAGTGGAAAAGAGGACATCCAATATATTACCTACAGAATATATGCTGTCATATGTTATCAAAAAAAACCCAAAAATCAGTTCATGTATTAATACCAAAAAATGAAACAATTTATATAACATCTATAATTGTTAATTATATTGTCATCAGAAACAAAATTAAAATGCTGGATGCCTGTACATCATGGCTAGCAAACAGTTGATTTTTGAATTTTGTACTTTAAAATAGCTAACATTAATTTGAAAAGTGATGTCTTTTCACATACCACTTATATTGCAATTAGTAGGCAAGATTAGCTAATCAAAACATATAAAAATTTAATTAATAAGAAAAGAATATTCTGCCTCTGTATATGGCTAATGTTACTTTTTTAAATAAATTACAGTAGAACTCTGATTAATCAAGCTTCTGCATTATCTCAGGCAAACCTGTATGTGAACAATACATTTCTTATACAGTACTGTAATTCATAAAAGAAAGTTTAAAGCAATAACATATATTACAATATAATTTGTTTTTGTTATCATGTGAGACAAACCATTCATATTAAAATGTAACTACAATAGTACACATTTTTATTCTTAAAACTACTGTACTGTAAACATATTAGCTTTATAATAAATAACGTAAAAAAATTCACTAAAACATAAAAAGAGACTTAAAAAGTGCTACAATTTAAATCTTTTATATTCACAATTTTTTATCCAAAATGGCTGTGGCCATCCATTTTATCTGTATTTTTGTTATTCAAGATAGTAATGGCCCATATTGCCTCAGGTAATTGGCATTCTACTGTATTGTGAATAATAATGAAAATGCAGAGTATTATGAAGCAATGTGAAATATCTATTGAAAGAGACCAGATATGGAATTATATATATATATAACAAATATCTTTCAGTGGACTTCAGATTGTTTAAATTATTGTATTGATTTGATTAATACACTTCTAACCCAATTTGATAACACAAATACTAAGCCAAAGATTATAAATTTATCTCAATTTATAATGTACAATCAATTTTGTTAAATTTATCTGTACTAAAGTTTTTCTTGTAATAGTTGATTTTATTTTCTCCAGTCTGGCTTATTTTGTTGATCTAAAAAAACTTCAAAAAATTGTTATTTCTTAATCCTTAATCTAAATAATCATTTGCGTAAATTCATTGTTATTGGGCTGTAATTTGAAAAAACTGTAGATCTATAAATTCCCACTGTCATCCAGCTGTCAGCTTATCTGTCCTTCCTTAATCTTGAGAACAGAGTTAGATAGATGAAAATCAAGACCAGATATGGAAAGCTTAGAAGCAGGAGGCCCCAATTAACTATATTTATTTTATTTATTTATTTAGACATACTGGGAAAACCCATGATACGGGGAATACATACCACAAAATCATTAGATATGCAATACAAACTACAGTAATATTACAATTCATGAATTAATACAGAGAACAAAAAAGCAAAATATACATACATAAAATACAAATTATACAAAACCAATACTGAGAAATAATATTTTAAACAAAATATAAACATAAAAATTGTGGGGAGAACTATCCAAACAAAAAGATTACACCCACCTATAAGACAAAAAAAGAAGTTAATTATCACATCAAACAGCAGATAGTCTCCCAAAATTTCTTAGCCACGAACACACATTTAAAGGAAAAACTAACTAACTAAGAATGCTCTAATATGCAAAACAAATCAGAATATACGTCACTCTACTCAAATGACCACTGAAACAAAATAAATCAACAACAATTAACTATATAGAAACTTCCAGTTTGCATTGGAAGTCATGTTATTTCAACTCAAAAATTTCCTCTGAAAGGAGTTAGATAAATGATCAGTAGGACTCTATTGCTAACAGGAAAAGTATGATGTACAGGGCAAGACACTAGTAATTTGAGATGGAGAACCTATATTTTAAATTAAATAAATTAAAAATATGATTAAAAATTACAATCTGCACTGACAATGTCACAATAAAATAATTGCATGTTGAATATAAATTATTGATGTAATCCTTATTCAAGAACAACAGTCAACAATCTTCATGAGAAAATTGTAGTAAAAATAAGTTATTATTTATTGTGACATCATCATAATGCCGGGCTGCAATTTTAATCAAATTTTTAAAATTAAATTTATTTAATTTAAAATATACACTCTCCACTTCAAATTACTAGTGTATTGCCCCTGTATATCATACTTTTCCTGTTAGCAAGAGTCATGCTGGTCATTTATCTAACTCCTTTCAAGGAAAAATTTTTGAATTGAAATAACTTCCAGTTTGCATCAGAAATTTGTGTATAGTTAATTGGGCTTCCTTCCCCCAATCTTTCCATATCTGGTCTTGGCTTTAATCTATGTAACTTCATTCTTCAGATTAAGGAAGGACAGACAACAGTAGGAATTTATGGGTCTACAATTTTTTCAAATTGCAGCCCAATAAATAAACAAATAAATAGATAAGTAACTTTAAAACTTCCAAATAAATTAATATTGCATGCAGTTAGATATCATTTATTTTTCTATTATTTCATATAATTTTATCTAATTGTAGTGGATTATTTCTGAATTGTCAAACATTTATATTGAAAAAAGTTCATTTTAACTTGTAAAACTAGTAAAAAAATTAAAGAAAATAATGTAAAATAATTTTGTTATAAAAGAACCTTTTTGAGAAATGGTTAAAAACAGTATGTAAATATTGAAAACATTATCAGTTTTAAAAATTGGTAAAAACATTATTTTAAAATTAAAGTTGAATAGTAATGTACAAAAGTCTAGCATTATATTTTCAATTATTGAGAAACATTTTTATAGTATAAAAAGAATAAAATGTGTAAATTTATTGAGAACAGTTATATTTATGTAAGAATCTTCAAAATAATCAACGTAAATTTTACAAGAATACATAAATATATCTTAATAAAAGCAAAAATAATTCTTATCAGTTTGTCTGTAGAGATATGCAAAATACACCACTTCCCAATTATAAAGCCATAGGTTATATCCTAGATTTGGATATATGCTTCCTGCCTAAATCAGATGGTGCTATAGTAAAGCTTCCTCTTGCAGTGGAAATTTGAAAACAACATAGCAACAAACACATATAACTTACATAGATGTTATGAAAATAGTTTTAACAAATAACTTTATTTCCTGTCACTTTTAAAGATGATTTTTTTTGTATAAAATCCATTAGAACAGGAAAAAATTAAAATAAACAAGCCATTTTCATAATGCTACACAAAATATTCAAATATATTCAAAAATACAAAATAGCTGTATATATTCTTCCAAAATATACAGGTATTTTGGTGAATATATTCCACAAATGCACATACCTACATAAATCTAGATAACAAATTCTAGTAGAAGTGCCCAAAGGAAAGTTAATCATCTATATTACATCTCTTTTAATCACTTTTTTAAAATATAATTAAAATTTAATTTTATAAAAATGTATTTGTACTGATATATTTTTATAAAAATGTTTGTTTAATGTTTAAAATAAAAATATTAATGCAAACATTTTAAAAATCTTTATTGTTTATTGCAAAAGAAGAAAGTACATGCAAGATTTGCTGTCATCAACATAGAACATAAGAGAACTGATAAAAGAATTCACCATAAACATATTAACTTAATGGTCATATACAGTATTATTTTTTCAGCTTAATGAACAATGGAAAATGATTAATGCTTTTTGCTCATGTAGGGCTAGACTTCTTGTTAGATGCAAGCAAATCTTACTATTTATTAGTAAAGAAGAAAAAAAATAGAATCAAGAACAAGTTTACTATAAGCTTGGAACAAACCAGCAAGTTTAAACAGGAAGAATACAAACAAGCAATAAGGCTTAGCCAGATTTTTGGAACAAGAAAAAGATATA